AAACACCAAAACCTGGTAATGCACTAATACTTAAGTGCATTACTGTCAACCCCTAACACAGACAGCAATAAGTAGGATTTGGTTTAGTCTCACGGCACAACTCAAAATGCCAGGAAGCTGGGGAACAGACAGGACTTTCAGGGCAGTCTACAGTCAGTAGAAAGAGGAACTGATCTCTCCTAGACTCTCTCTAGGGAAAGCTCATCGTAAAATTTCCCCGCCTTAATACAGAACTAGGCTCCGTGGGTCATGAAAGGGAAGGCCCCGAGTACCTTTTGGGCTTGCCTGAGCTTCTCAATTATTGCAATGGTTTGGGCTTGTTGCTGGACTGTGGCTTCCAGCCTGGCGTACTCAACTTCGAGACTGAAAAAGAAGTACAGGCCTTATGACAGAAGTCCACAAGAGCACAAATCCCAAAGGAACAGTGTGAAAGAACCTCATCTAAAATAAAAGCATCTTTGAAAATCATGTAGTAGTATCTCGCTGGGATACAAGCAAGTCCCGTTGTTTTTACAAAATCACAAAAAGTGAAGCTTTGCTCCACTGTCTTACCAGTGAATGCGTTCTCGCAGCTGGCCGATAGCTGCAGGTAAAGACACGCTGCATGAAGGAGGAAGGCCTTGCAGGTTCCTGGAAGTTGTTATTTCCTTCTCCTTTGGGGCACTCTTCAATGACGCAGCAAAACATTCCTTCTGCATATGATGATCTTTTGGTTCCTGCAGATGCCAAACCCCAACAAGAATCCTCAGTAGACGGCTTACGTTTGTTCAAAACAAGTGGGCTGCTTTGACACTGATGAAAACTCTCAAAACCTGTGATACTTCTTCCTCTTTTATACTGGGCCCTCTCCTATGTCTACACTGATTTCTTAGAGCGTTTCCTATGGGCTGCCACAACATTTCTCTCCTTTCTCAAGGACTCCAAACACAAGTTGTAGTGCGTTGGTGGTGTTGTGGTTTAGGAATGGTACTCCCCAGTTTAGTGCTCCCATTGAGACTCTCCAAGCCACAGCGCTGCTCACTGGCTCGCCATTCTCCCTCCCCCCTGCGGCAGGATGGAGAACCGGAGGCACAAAAGGGAAAGATTATGGCTACTTCTTTTCCAGCTACATCATCTCCCTTCTTTTCTGGTCTGTTATAATATGTTGATTTCAGAGGAGCAAAATGTAGCTTCTGATTGGGCCCTACACCAAGAACACCACCCCCTCGGGGGTTACCACTTTTCTAACTCCAGGGCAAAACACTTTTTTACCCCACGACAACAACTTCAAGGCTGTGTTCTCTCCCTGTCCTTCTATGGACTTCTTCTCTCCCCTGGCAGGGGCCCCACAGCATGTCTGTGAGAATGGGTTACCTCTTCTTGCAACAGTGGAGTTAGCTTCTTAAACAGACAGGCAGAGAAATATAGACAGTGCTTTTCATGGGAAATAATCTCCCCCCACGCTGGGCCTTTCCTAGCAGCCAAAACTTCTCTGAGCAAAAATTCTTTTATCCTCCTTGAGTAAATCTTCCGCATATAATTTTTCGGTCCCTGCGCCACCTTAGTGCAGCCCTCCACTGTCACTTCAAGTCGTGCCAACAGGCAGACACCAAAGGCAGCAGTGCTGTTCCTTCCCATCACAGCTAGCTGCACACTGAACCACCTTGTGTTCTTCTCAGGGAAGAATCACTTCCCTGCTCTAGTGCACTACAAAGAAGGCCTTGAGCCCTGCCAAGAGACAGGCTTTCCCATACCTTAGCTTCAGACCTCTCCAGTTTCTCCTGCATCAGCGGTTTCTCTTCCTTCGGGTCCTTGCTGTGGGTCTTCATAGCTCCAAGTGAAGGTTCTGCCAGGGAGTTCTTTTTGAGAACTTCATCAGGCTTCTCCAGCAGCTGCCTGACCAATGGCTAAAGAAATAGTGTTCCATGAGCATGGAGAAATCGGTAAGAACATGACAACACAAGAGATGCTTTCACTGATGGGATTATATAACTAGATTGGTCATCAGGTTGGCCAGCAGGTCGAGGGAGGCAATTCTCCCTTTCTACTCTGATCTCATGAGGCTCCACTTGGAGGCCTGCGTCCAGCTCCGCGGCCCCCAGCACAAGCAAGACATGGATGGAGGAATGCCACAAAGATGTTTGGAGGGCTGGAACAGAGAACAGCTCTCCCATGAAAAAGGCTCAGAGACTTGGGATTTTTCAGCCTGAGAAAAGCAGGCTCTGGGCAGAACTTACTGCTGTCTTTCAGTGTAAATAGAGGGAGAGATATTTTTACCAAGGCCTGTAGCGACAGAAGAAGAGGCAATCATTTAAAATGAAAAGAGGGTAGATTTAGATGGGACATAAGGGGTAAATTGTTTGCAAGGACTGTGGTGGGACACTGGACCCGGTTGTGGAAGTGTTCAAAGTGAAGCTGGATGGGACTTGGAGCAAGGCTTATTCCAGCCCTTCTGCTTCAGAATGCAAACAAAATGAGGTCCGAAGTATAGCACAGGTCCAGACTCAATCACCTCCTCTCAGCAGTTTTTCAAAATGAATTCCGAAGTCAGAACACCTCTGCTTACACTGACAGGCTCTATTTAGGGATATCTGCTTCTGCCTCTATTAGAGTCACCTGTCTGTCCAGCTGAGAATCTCTTTGACTTGAAGAATCAGATCTTAGCTGAAGATCTTCTGTCTCCAGTGTAGGAACCTAAATGAGCAAGAAAACAGAGACACAGTGGAGAAACGAATCCTCATCAAGATTGCAGCATCACACTACATCTGACTTCAGCCAAAGGCAATGCAACTCATCTGGAACAGAGCTAAGTACCTTATTCTTAGAAGAAGGGTCAAAATATTCCTTCTGCTCTGCTCCTGCTGCTGGCAGGATATCTGGGAAAAAAGGGAAACAGTGTGTTGTTACTCTGAGTACTTATTTCACTCTGTTTCTCCCCAGCCATGTCACCCCAGAGAAATTCACAAAGGTAACCATTTAGTCCCTCTGAAATTACCTTTGCCGTGCTCCACTCCAACAGAGCGCGCATCCAAAGTCTTGCCCACTGCAGCAGGAAGTGTCAAGTTGGTCGACACTTTCCCTTGACCTTTGGAATCAGTCTGCGTAATTTAAAAGACACGTCTGAGAACTGGCACTGGCTCCTTCTCAACCCACTTCCACGCACAACACTTCTGCTTCAGCCAACAGGCCTAACGAGCGGGATCAGGTGGAGGAAACAACAAAACGGGCAAACACAGCCAGCACATTCGGCATCTCTCTTGAGCAGGGCTTTCCAAAGGGGATGAAGTACTCCTGCCCAATGCAGAGAGAACCTAGACAGGAGAAATACATCTCCAGACTCTAGGTCATAAGGGAACCATTTGAAATGAACGGATCCAGGGAAGCAGTGGAAAACACTGCGTTTTCCACTGTTTTCCACTGTTTTCCACAAACATTGTGTGGAAAACACAATCCTCACAGTGCCAGTCTTGGAGGATTTCAGAGGACTGCAAGCAGCAAGAAGCTTTACTGCTTTGTTCTACAAATCCAGCTGGGAGGTCAGCTGCAAGGACATTAGCTTGACCTCACTTTGTCCCAGCACTAACTGAACCGTTTGTCTGCAGCACTGGCATGTCCAGGTCGTCCAAGGTGCAAGCGTGTGGCAAAAGCAGCAGCAAAGGGAAAGGAGCCCAGACGCCATGGATCCAGAAGAAACTCATTGCCCCCTCCAGAACAGCTACCTCCAAAAGCCAGGAAATGTCATCATCTTCCCAAGAAAAGTCATTGTCTTCCTTCTGCTCTTCTTGCTGCTGGCAAGACCCCTAACAAAAGAGGTAAGAGGGATGTCATTACTCTGAGGGCTTATTTCACTCTGCTTTCTCTCCAGCCATGTCACCCCAGAGAACTTTACAAAGGTAACCATTTAGTCCCTCTGAAATTACCTTTGCCGTGCTCCACTGCAACAGAGCGCGTATCCAAACTCTTGCCCACTGCAGCAGGAAGCGTTGGGTCAGCGGACACTTTCCCTTGACCTTTGGAATCAGTCTGTGAAATTGAAAAGACACGTCTGAGAACTGGCAAAGGCTCCTTCTCAACCCACTTCCACGCACAACACTTCTGCTTTAGCCAAAAGACCTAACAAGCGGGATCAGGTGATGGAAGCAACAAAAGAGGCAAACACAGCCAGCACGTTCAGCATCTCTCTTGAGCAGGGCTTTCCAAAGGGGATGAAGTACTCCTGTCCAATGCAGAGAGAATGCAGGCAGAAGAAAGAAGTCTCTAGACTGTGAGTCATATGGGAACCAATTGACAGTGACTGGAGTGGAAGATGTTTGCGGTATGATAGAAAATCAACAATCTTCACCAAGCCAGTCTTCTAACAGAAACTTTACTGCTTTGTCCTTTTTTAGAAATCCAGCTTGGAGGTCAGCTGCAAGGAGAACCAGCTGAACCTCACTTTGTCCCAGTCCTACAGGAACAGTTTGTCTGCAGCACTGGCATGTCAAGGTCTGACTTACAAGCATTTGGCAAAAGCAGCTGCAGACAGTAATGATCCCAGAAGCCAGTGATTCAGAGGGACCCCACTGCCTCCTCTAGAGAAGGTACCTCAGAATCCCAGGAGGAGTCTTTGTCTTTCTTCTGCTCTTCTCTCACTCCTGGCAAGACACCTAACAAATATGAGAAGAGTCGCATCACTCCTTGGAGTGCTGATTTTCCTCTGCTTTGGCACCTCCCTCAAGACATGCATCACACTGATGGGTTATCATTCTCCTACAGGCCACATTGATTTTTCCTTCTTACCTCCTTGATAGCGAAGAGTCTTACATGATTCTGGCAATGCAGGTGTATTTGAGAGAATGTCAGCAGTTGTCCCAGAGCAAGAGCTGTTAATTTCTTCTGTGCCTCGGGCAGAACGTTGTCCCTTCCTTTTAGAGCACTCATCTCTGCTGGTGCCATCACTCTTATACCAGCAGCAGCCAAGGCCAGACCTATCATTTAGCTGTGGTGCATCCAGAATGATTGCTGCCAGATGCTTTGTGCTCTGCTTTGGACTGTCTGAGCGCGAAAGGTCTCTACAGCCTTCCAAAGCTTTACACAAAATGTGCAGTTCTTTTGCATTTCTTACTGCCTCTTGCTGCTATTTAGGCAATATGGAATGTGGTGACTTGGTGTACTTCATTTCCTCACACTGTAGACAAATTAGTCTGTTCTAGGAGTAGGGGTGTTCTAGGGGTGGGAATGTTCTAGGGGTGAGGGTGGACTCAGTCCCTGCTGGTGCCATCCATGCTGAGTCAGAGCTGTCCCTGAGCCACAGCTCCACTGCTTCCCACTTGAGAGTAAGGGACTCTCTCTGCCCTAGGATCCAGGTCTTAATGGGTAGGAGAGCTTGTCTTGTTTCCTTGGCATGATTCTCAGCTCCAGAGCACCCCTCTCCATGTAGTTTGCCTCGGAGTCTTCGCTGAAATGGCCCAAGCACTGCTGGGTTAATTACACTGGAGAGATGGCTGTCTTTCTTATGGCAGCTTGGGCCTTGCTCCTCTGTGAATGATGGAGCACTTGCATGTCTGTGGGAGAGAAAGAGTTGGCAGCAGCTGTGAGGGTGGACAGGATAGCAAGAATAGAAAATATTCCCTTGCAACTGCCCCCTGTGCTCTGTAAAGCACCCTCTGTGGAGGGTGGCTGGAGCAGTTACGTGCCAAGAAAGTCTCCTGCATGGAGAAAAGGTCCAACTGCCCTCTGGCTGAAGAACCTTTTCCTAACATCTGAAGTAAACCTTCCCTGACACAGCTTCATGCCATTCCCTTGGGTTCTGAATACAGGGAATCAGATGCAATTGTTAAGGAAACTTTCCTGTCCTATCATCCAGGAGTCACTGTGGCAGTCACTCTCTCACCACTTGAGCTGAGCCCCAAGCCCCTCTGCAGCGGGTGGCTCCCGTGAGCAGATGGGTGCCCCGCCTGACTCTCTACACACCCCACACTCACACAGTCAGACATGGCTTCCTTAGCAGCTCGACCCCAGGTTTCCCACAGCAGAGCCTCAGTCATCTCAATCCTTAAAATAATGTAATCTTGATAAAATAACAAAAGAGCAGCTTGAGCTGGGTGCCTCTGAGGAGGGCCCCCGAACAAAAGAAAACCTGGAGCTTTTATACCCTTACAATCTAAACGTGCCAAAGTCTGGGTTCCTGCCATGTCTCTGTGCGTCCGATCCTGGCCGGACCACAAATCCCTGTGTCCTTCATTGTGCAAAGGGATTTTCATCTTTGGAGGTCATCTCATTGCATTATGGACCCATGCCTTCTGGCCAGGGAATCCATAGTCACAAATCAGGAAGGTGACTGGAATACAGGCAACTGAAGAATTCCTGTCACAGTCTGCTGATGCCAGTCGGGCCTCCAGGAAGAAGTGCTCGGCATCACCAGAGCCCATGGAAAGCCCACAAGCAAAGGTACCAAATCCCTCTACTGTAGGACTGTCTGAACTGCTGTCTGAGGCCTCAACCTCCCGACTGGTCTAAAGCAGAAAACACCGAAACCTGGTAATGCACTAATACTTAAGTGCATTACTGTCAACCCCTAACACAGACAGCAATAAGTAGGATTTGGTTTAGTCTCACGGCACAACTCAAAATGCCAGAAAGCTGGGGAAGAGACAGGACTTTCAGGGCAGTCTACAGTCAGTAGAAAGAGGAACTGATCTCTCCTAGACTCTCTCTAGGGAAAGCTCATCGTAAAATTTCCCCGCCTTAATACAGAACTAGGCTCCGTGGGTCATGAAAGGGAAGGCCCCGAGTACCTTTTGGGCTTGCCTGAGCTTCTCAATTATTGCAATGGTTTGGGCTTGTTGCTGGACTGTGGCTTCCAGCCTGGCGTACTCAACTTCGAGACTGAAAAAGAAGTACAGGCCTTATGACAGAAGTCCACAAGAGCACAAATCCCAAAGGAACAGTGTGAAAGAACCTCATCTAAAATAAAAGCATCTTTGAAAATCATGTAGTAGTATCTCACTGGGATACAAGCAAGTCCCGTTGTTTTTACAAAATCACAAAAAGTGAAGCTTTGCTCCACTGTCTTACCAGTGAATGCGTTCTCGCAGCTGGCCGATAGCTGCAGGTAAAGACATGTTGCATGAAGGAGGAAGGCCTTGCAGGTTCCTGGAAGTTGTTATTTCCTTCTCCTTTGGGGCACTCTTCAATGACGCAGCAAAACATTCCTCCTGGATATGATGCTCCTTCGGTTCCTGCAGATGCCAAACCCCAACAAGAACCCTCAGTAGACGGCTTACGTTTGTTCAAAACAAGTGGGCTGCTTTGACACTGATGAAAACTCTCAAAACCTGTGATACTTCTTCCTCTTTTATACTGGGCCCTCTCCTATGTCTATGTCTTTATGTTGATTTCAGAGGAGCAAAATGTAGCTTCTGATTGGGCCCTACACCAAGAACACCACCCCCTCGGGGGTTACCACTTTTCTAACTCCAGGGCAAAACACTTTTTTACCCCACGACAACAACTTCAAGGCTGTGTTCTCTCCCTGTCCTTCTATGGACTTCTTCTCTCCCCTGGCAGGGGCCCCACAACATGTCTGTCAGAATGTGTTACCTCTTCTTGCAACAGTGGAGTTAGCTTCTTAAACAGACAGGCAGAGAAATACAGACAGTGCTTTTCATGGGAAATAATCTCCCCCCACGCTGGGCCTTTCCTAGCAGCCAAAACTTCCCTGAGCAAAAATTCTTTTATCCTCCTCGAGTAAATCTTCCGCATATAATTTTTTGGTCCCTGCGCCACCTTAGTGCAGCCCTCCACTGTCACTTCAAGTCGTGCCAACAGGCAGACACCAAAGGCAGCAGTGCTGTTCCTTCCCATCACAGCTAGCTGCACACTGAACCACCCTGTGTTCTTCTCAAGGAAGAATCACTTCCCTGCTCTAGTGCGCTACAAAGAAGGCCTTGAGCCCTGCCAAGAGACAGGCTTTCCCATACCTTAGCTTCAGACCTCTCCAGTTTCTCCTGCATCAGCGGTTTCTCTTCCTTCAGGTCCTTGCTGTGGGTCTTCATAGTTCCAAGTGAAGGTTCTGCCAGGGAGTTCTTTTTGAGAACTTCATCAGGCTTCTCCAGCAGCTGCCTGACCAATGGCTAAAGAAATAGTGTTCCATGAGCATGGAGAAATCGGTAAGAACATGACAACACAAGAGATGCTTCTACTGATGGGATTATATAACTAGATTGGTCATCAGGCTGGCCAGAAGGTCAAGGGAGGCAATTCTCCCTTTCTACTCTGATCTCATGAGACTCCACTTGGAGTCCTGCATCCAGCTCCGCGGCCACCAGCACAAGCAAGACATGGACGGAGGAATGTCACAAAGATGTGTGGAGGGCTGGAACAGCTCTCCCATGAAAAAGGCTGAGAGACTTGGGATTTTTCAGCCTGAGAAAAGCAGGCTCTGGGCAGAACTTACTGCTGTCTTTCAGTGTAAATAGAGGGAGAGATATTTTTACCAAGGCCTGTAGCGACAGAAGAAGAGGCAATCATTTAAAATGAAAAGAGGGTAGACTTAGATGGGACATAAGGGATAAATTGTTTGCAAGGACTGTGGTGGGACACTGGACCCGGTTGTGGAAGTGTTCAAAGTGAAGCTGGATGGGACTTGGAGCAAGGCTTATTCCAGCCCTTCTGCTTCAGAATGCAAACAAAATGAGGTCCGAAGTATAGCACAGGTCCAGACTCAATCACCTCCTCTCAGCAGTTTTTCAAAATGAATTCCACAGTCAGAACACCTCTGCTTACACTGACAGGCTCTATTTAGGGATATCTGCTTCTGCCTCTATTAGAGTCACCTGTCTGTCCAGCTGAGAATCTGTTTGACTTGAAGAATCAGACCTTAGCTGAAGATCTTCTGCCTCCAGTGTAGGAACCTAAATGAGCAAGAAAACAGAGACACAGTGGAGAAACGAATGCTCACCAAGACTGCAGCATCACACTACATCTGACTTCAGCCAAAGGCAATGCAATCCATCTGCAACAGAGCTAAGTACCTTATTCTTAGAAGAAGGGTCAAAATATTCCTTCTGCTCTGCTCCTCCTGCTGGCACGATACCTAGAAAAAAGGGAAAAAGTGTGTTGTTACTCTGAGTACTTATTTCACTCTGCTTCTCCTCAGCCATGTCACCCCAGAGAAATTCACAAAGGTAACCATTTAGTCCCTCTGAAATTACCTTTGCCGTGCTCCACTGCAACGGAGCGCGCATCCAAACTCTTGCCCACTGCAGCAGGAAGTGTTGGGTCAGCGGACACTTTCCCTTGACCTTTGGAATCAGTCTGTGTAATTTAAAAGACATGTCTGAGAACTGGCAAAGGCTCCTTCTCAACCCACTTCCACGCACAACACTTCTGCTTTAGCCAAAAGGCCTAATGAGCACGATCAGGTGACGGAAGCAACAAAAGAGGCAAACACAGCCAGCACGTTCAGCATCTCTCTTGAGCAGGGCTTTCCAAAGGGGATGAAGTACTCCTGCCCAATGCAGAGAGAACTGAGGCAGGAGAAATACATCTCCAGACTGGAGGTCATAACGAAACCATTTGACATTAATGGATCCAGGGAAGCAGGCTATGAGGTGGAAAACAGCAATCCTCACAGTGCCAGTCTTGTAGGATTTCAGAGGACTGCAAGCAGCAAGAAGCTTTACTGCTTTGTTCAACAAATCCAGCTGGGAGGTCAGCTGCAAGGACATTAGCTGACCTCACTTTGTCCCTGCACTAACTGAACACTTTGTCTGCAGCACTGACATGTCCAGGCCCAAGGTGCAAGCATGTGGCAAAAGCAGCAGCAAAGGGAAAGGAGCCCAGACGCCATGGATCCAGAAGAAACTCATTGCCCCCTCCAGAACAGCTACCTCCAAAAGCCAGGAAATGTCATCATCTCCCCAGGAAAAGTCATTGTCTTCTTTCTGGTCTTCTCCTGCTGCTGGCAAGATCCCTAACAAAAGAGGTAAGAGGCATGTCATTACTCTGAAGGCTTATTTCACTCTGCTTTCTCCCCAACCATGTCACCCCACTTTACAAAGAGAGAACTTTACAAAGGTAACCATTTAGTCCCTCTGAAATTACCTTTGCCGTGCTCCACTGCAACAGAGCGTGCATCCAAAGTCTTGCCCACTGCAGCAGGAAGCAGCAAACTTTCTGCTGGACCATCAGAATCGGTCTGTGTAATTGAAAAGACACGTCTGAGAACTGGCAAAGGCTCCTTCTCAGCCTACTTCCACGCACAGCACTTCAGCTTCATCCAACAGTCCTAACGAGCGGGATCAGGTGACAAAAGGAACAAAAGAGGCAAACACAGCCAGCACGTTTGGCATCTCTCTTGAGCAGGGCTTTCCAAAGGGGATGAAGTACTCCTGCCCAATGCAGAGAGAACCTAGGCAGGAGAAATACATCTCCAGACTGGAGGTTATTTGACATTAATGGATCCAGGGAAGCAGGCTAGGAGGTGGAAAACAGCAATCCTTATAGTGCCAGTCTTGGAGGATTTCAGAGGACTGCAAGCAGCAAGAAGCTTTACTGCTTTGTTCTACAAATCCAGCTGGGAGGTCAGCTGCAAGGAGACCCAGGACAGTAGCTGACCTCACTTTGTCCCAGCACTAACTGAACACTTTACAGCAATGGCATGTCCAGGTCCAAGGTGCAAGCGTGTGGCAAAAGCAGCAGCAAAGGGAAAGGAGCCCAGAAGCCATTGATCCAGCGGGACCTCACTGCCTCCTCCGGAGCAGGTACCTCAGAATCCCAGGGGGAGTCATTGTCTTCCTTCTGCTCTTCTCCTGCTGCTGGCAAGACCCCTAACAAAAGATAACAGGTTTGTCATTACTCTGAGGGCTTATTTCACTCTGCTTTCTCCCCAGTCATGTCACCCCAGAGAACTTTACAAAGGTAACCATTTAGTCCCTCTGAAATTACCTTTGCCGTGCTCCACTCCAACAGAGCGCGCATCCAAACTCTTGCCCACTGCAGCAGGAAGTGTCAAGTTGGGCAACACTTTCCCTTGGCCTTTGGAATCAGTCTGTGTAATTGAAAAGACACGTCTGAGAACTGGCAAAGGCTCCTTCTCAACCCACTTCCACGCACAACACTTCTGCTTTAGCCAAAAGGCCTAATAAGCACGATGAGGTGACGGAAGCAACAAAAGAGGCAAACACAGCCAGCAGGTTCAGCATCTCTCTTGAGCAGGGCTTTCCAAAGGGGATGAAGTACTCCTCCCCAATGCAGAGGGAACCGAGGCAGGAGAAATACATCTCTAGACAGTAGGTTATTTGACATTAATGGATCCAGGGAAGCAGGCTAGGAGGTGGAAAACACAATCCTCACAATGCCAGTCTTGGAGGATTTCAGAGGACTGCAAGCAGCGGGAAGCTTTACTGCTTTGTTCTATTAATCCAGCTGGGAGGTCAGCTGCAAGGAGACCCAGGACATTAGCTGACCTCACTTTGTCCCAGCACTAACTGAACCGTTTGTCTGCAGCACTGGCATGTCCAGGCCCAAGGTGCAAGCATGTTGCCCAAGCAGCAGCAAAGGGAAAGGAGCCCAGACGCCATGGATCCAGAAGAAACTCATTGCCCCCTCCAGAACAGCTACCTCCAAAAGCCAGGAAAAGTCATCATCTCCCCAGGAAAACTCATTGTCTTCTTTCTGGTCTTCTGCTGCTGGCAAGAACCCTAACAAAAGATAACAGGTTGGTCATTACTCTGAGGGCTTATTTCACTCTGCTTTCTCCCCAGCCATGTCACCCCAGAGAAATTCACAAAGGTAACCATTTAGTCCCTCTGAAATTACCTTTGCCGTGCTCCACTGCAACAGAGTGAGCATCCAAACTCTTGCCCACTGCAGCAGGAAGTGTCAGGTTGGTTGACACTTTCCCTTGACCTTTGGAATCAGTCTGTGTAATTGAAAAGACACGTCTGAGAACTGGCAAAGGCTCCTTCTCAACCCGCTTCCACGCACAACACTTCTGCTTTAGCCAAAAGGCCTAAAGAGCACGATCAGGTGACGGAAGGAACAAAAGAGGCAAACACAGCCAGCACGTTCAGCATCTCTCTTGAGCAGGGCTTTCCAAAGGGGATGAAGTACTCCTGCCCAATGCAAAGAGAACCGAGGCAGGAGAAATACAACTCCAGATTGTACGTCGTAAGGGAACCATTTGACATTAATGGATCCAGGGAAGCAGGCTAGGAGGTGGAAAACAGCAATCCTCACAGTGCCAGTCTTGTAGGATTTCAGAGGACTGCAAGCAGCAAGAAGCTTTACTGCTTTGTTCTACAAATCCAGCTGGGAGGTCAGCTGCAAGGAGACCCAGGACAGTAGCTGACCTCACTTTGTCCCAGCACTAACTGAACACTTTACAGCAATGGCATGTCCAGGTCCAAGGTGCAAGCGTGTGACAAAAGCAGCAGCAAAGGGAAAGGAGCCCAGACGCCATTGATCCAGCGGGACCTCACTGCCTCCTCCAGAGAAGGTACCTTAGTATCCCGGGGGGAGTCACTGTCTTCCTTCTGCTCTTCTCCTGCTGCTGGCAAGGCTCCTATACAAAAGGTAACAGGCATGTTTTTGAGGCTTATTTCACTCTGCTTCTCCCCAGCCATGTCACCCCAGAGAAGTTCACAAAGGTAACCATTTAGTCCCTCTGAAATTACCTTTGCCGCTCCGTACTAACACAGCACGCGCGTCCAATCTATTGCCGAATGCAGCAGGAAACAGCACATTTTTCGACACATCCCAGGGACCGTCAGAATCAGTCTGTGTAATTTAAAAGACACGTCGGAGAACTGGCAAAGGCTCCTTCTCAACCCACTTCCACGCACAACACTTCTGCTTCAGGCAACAGGCCTAATGAGCAGGATCCGCTGGCAGAAGCAACAAAAGAGGCAAACACAGCCAGCACATTCGGCATCTCTCTTGAGCAGGGCTTTCCAAAGGGGATGAAGTACTCCTGCCCAATGCAGAGAGAACCTAGGCAGAAGAAACACATCTCCAGACTGGAGGTCATAACAGTCATCCATATGACATTAATGGATCCAGGGAAGGAGGCTTTGGGGTCGAAAACAGCAATCCTCACTATACGAGTTTTCTAGGATTTTAGGAGATTGTAAGCAGCAAGAAGCTTTACTGCTTTGTTCTAGAAATCCAGCTTGCAGGTCAGCTGCAAGGAGACCCAGGACATTAGCTTGACCTCACTTTGTCCCAGCACTAACTGAACACTTGGTCTGCAGCACTGGCATGTCCAGGTCCAAGGTGCAAGCATGTGGCAAAAGCAGCAGCAAAGGGAAAGGAGCCCACACGCCATGGATCCAGCGGGACCTCACTGCCTCCTCCAAAGTAGGTACCTCAGAATCCCAGGGAGAGTCACTGTCTTCCTTCTGCTCTTCTGCTGCTGACAAGGCCCCTAACAAAAGATAACAGGTTTGTCATTACTCTGAGGGCTTATTTCACTCTGCTTTCTCCCCAGCCATGTCACCCCACTTTACAAAGGTAACCATTTAGTCCCTCTGAAATTACCTTTGCCGTGCTCCACTGCAACAGAGCGCGTATCCAAACTCTTGCCCACTGCAGCAGGAAGCGTTGGGTCAGCGGACACTTTCCCTTGACCTTTGGAATCAGTCTGTGAAATTGAAAAGACACGTCTGAGAACTGGCAAAGGCTCCTTCTCAACCCACTTCCACGCACAACACTTCTGCTTTAGCCAAAAGACCTAACAAGCGGGATCAGGTGATGGAAGCAACAAAAGAGGCAAACACAGCCAGCACGTTCAGCATCTCTCTTGAGCAGGGCTTTCCAAAGGGGATGAAGTACTCCTGTCCAATCCAGAGAGAATGCAGGCAGAAGAAAGAAGTCTCTAGACTGTGAGTCATATGGGAACCAATTGACAGTGACTGGACTGGAAGATGTTTGCGGTATGATAGAAAATCAACAATCTTCACCAAGCCAGTCTCCTAACAGAAACTTTACTGCTTTGTCCTTTTTTAGAAATCCAGCTTGGATGTCAGCTGCAAGGAGAACTAGCTGGGCCTCACTTTGTCCCAGTCCTACAGGAACAGTTTGTCTGCAGCACTGGCATGTCAAGGTCTGACTTACAAGCATTTGGCAAAAGCAGCTGCAGACAGTAATGATCCCAGAAGCCAGTGATTCAGAGGGACCCCACTGCCTCCTCTAGAGAAGGTACCTCAGAATCCCAGGAGGAGTCTTTGTCTTTCTTCTGCTCTTCTCTCACTTCTGGTAAGACACCTAACAAATATGAGAAGAGTCGCATCACTCCTTGGAGTGCTGATTTTCCTCTGCTTTGGCACCTCCCTCAAGACATGCATCACACTGGTGGGTTATCATTCTCCTACAGGCCACATTGATTTTTCCTTCTTACCTCCTTGATAGTGAAGAGTCTTACATAATTCTGGCAATGCAGGTGTATTTGAGAGAATGTCAGCAGTTGTCCCAGAGCAAGAGCTGTTAATTTCTTCTGTGCCTCTGGCAGAACATTGTCCCTTCCTTTCAGAGCATTCATATTCCTCTCCTTCATTAGCAATACTAAACATAGAAAGGGAGGAAATGCAATAGGTAAAAATGCCCCCAGACTTTCCTGCACTCTCCACGGGAAGAGCAACAGCCATGCATGTGCCATTCTAACCCTATTCCTAGACAACCGCTAAAGGGTCACACACACACAAAACATACTGCAGTCCTAGAGTAGTGGAGACTGAAATCCTCACTACAGGCATGCTCATGCTACAGGTGCCTATTCTATCTGTGGAGTAACTCACCCCTGCTGGCTACTGTCTCATCTGATAGACCCCCTCTCCATTTCAAGGACCAGGGAGATTAACTAGGCCCCTGGCAGGCTGACATCTCCAAAGCCTCTTCCTCAGCTGGATGTTATACTAATGTCTCAACACTAAGATGGAGCAACGTCTCCTCAACCCCAGTCCTCACTTTGAAGGGCTTCAGAAATTCCCATGGTTCCTCTGAAGACCAGAAGTTCAGAGGGCTCCTAAGTCAGATATTAAGAGGCCAACAAATACTGCACTTGCATTCTGAGACCTGTGTCATATTCTAACAACCTTGGGTCAGTTGGAGGTCAGGTTTGTTTCATGAGCAGGAATACAAAACAAAAAACCCCAATCAAACAACAAAAGAAATTAAACACATTCTCCAGACCTAGGCTGCTCTGCAGAATGGTGCATTAGCACAACAGAAGCCTGGAGGGGAGGAATGAATACCTTGTTTTGTTAGAGCAATCCTCAAACATGCTTTAGTCCTAAAGGGGTTTTTACTCCACAGTTTACCCAGGCTCCCTTCTCTCCTGCTTCCCATCAAGACAGGCTAACAGAAGGGGCAGGGGGAGAGGAAATTGAGATCCAGTGACAAGAGTTCACAGGCAGTTGTTTATGGCTAGGCAAGGCATGCTCATAGGCATAATGCAATTCATTCACACATCCCTTGGCTACCATCACTACGATAGAGGGCTTTTTTCCTCAGTCTAGTTAAGCACACATAGCCACCTTGGCCAGTGAATGGCCAGAGGTGCAAAGCTATCCACGGGAAGAGGAAAAGCACTGAAGAGTTTTAATTAGGGGATATCAGTTAGATCCCCTCTGAAACAAAAGGCAGGTAGTTGCTGCTAGGGAGTAGAATAGAACTTGGAAGCACACAGGTGAATTCTCAAAGAGAACTGGGTTTGGTGGGGAGGAGGGATGTTTTCCTCAATTCCCAAATCTACCCTTTACATTGAAAGAGATGCATCAGAAGGTGTCACACTTCGATAAAGCTCTCAGCACCTCATTTAACCCTGCTGCTGTTACCAAAAAGGGCTGTACATCAGCACGGACATTCTGAGAATGCAGTTGCTCTAACAAGGATGTAAAACACTTACAGCTCATCTCGAAATAGTCTTTCAAAAGCTCGAACTCCAAACAGTCCAGTGTCTTCTTTATTGATAACACCGCCATTGCGAAGAAGAACTTCTACTGCATCCTTATCCTGAAGAATAGCAGCAACTTCCATAGGGGTCCTAGGGCATCCAGGAGATAAGAGTAAATACATCAGCTTCTGCAGGCATTACATATCATTACTTTAATCCCTCTTTGCTTCTCAGACAATTCATTTCCCCTCTCCTACTGGCAGAAGGAAAGCACAGCCAAACACCTGGAAGTGTTGGAGAATTCAGGTTGGTGGGACCTCAGGAGGTCTCCAGGCCAGCCACCCACCCAGAGCAGACTCAGGTCGCGTGTGTGTGCCTGCGCGCGCGCGTGTGCATGTGGGACCGCAGACAACGCTTTCTTGCAGTCCTCAGTGTGGAAATCATCCCCTGAAGTAAGCAAGCAGCAGAGCGCAGGTCTGCTTTCACAAGTCACACTGAAGGAGCTCCTTCTGGGTGGTTCCTGGCCCTTTTTCAATGCTCATTCTTATGCCTCCCATCAATCCAACTTAAACAATGCTAAGGAGTCCCACACGTGCTTTTACCAAATCCTTCACCTTTTATGATTATCTGTAGCATTCACGTCAGCTCCTTTTTGAAGAAGGAACTCGATCATCCCTTTGCAACGCTCGGTGATCGCAAGAGTAAGTGGAGTGTATCCCAGCTGAAAGGAAAAATCATCTCTCTTAGAATAACAGAGAAAAGTCAAGCAAGTTGACTTGGGAAGAGGAGGTTTACCTAAAGTCCAAGCTTACTTCATTCTTAACATCAATATCTGCGCCATGCTCTAGTAACAGCTCCACTAGAGATTTGTTAGACATCAGAACAGCAAAGTGAAGGGCGGTGTTACCAGTAGCAGCTCTGTGGGCACGGTTGGCACCATGCTCCAGCAGAACAGCCACACAATCTCTGTGCTGGTGCTGTACTGCCTGGAAACAAGACACAAAGAAGGAATAACTTCCAACATCTACATTGTTCTCTGTCAGAACTCCTGCGTCTTCCCAACACTGGAAAGTTCAAGCATCTTCAATCATAAGACAACATATGCCCCTTTCACATACCAGCATCAGTGGTGATCTCTTATATTTGTCACCAGGATTTAGCTTGCAATTCTTGCCTACTAGAAAACGAACAATATCTGCATGGCCATTTATGCAAGCAAGATGCAGAGGTGTCCTAGAAATTAAACATACACAATTGTCCCGGTTTAAGCCCAGCTGACAATTAAGCCCCACACAGCTACTTGCTCACACCTTCTCCCTCCCCACCCCAGTGAAACAGGGAGGAGAATCAAAAGTAAAACCTTTAATAACAATTAAATTAAAATAGAGTAATAATTAAAACAAAAGAAATAAAATAAGCATTACTAAGGGATGCTAGATGGTGTCTGTTCCACTGATGGTATCCTTTGTTGCTGCTTAGGCTTGAAAGTACACAAAGTACATCCATCAAAAAACCACCCTGACTTCAGATAATTTTGACAAATTCCACATTTTGCAAAAGGTGGAGGCTTTGCTGATTGTCCTTACAGCTTGTCTGCGTTGCGCCTGTTGATGAAGAATTTCTTCAGCCACCAGTGCCGCCGCAGCTGGTCCAGGTCGCCGCGGGCGGCCGCGCTGTGCAGGTCGACCCAGGCCATCTCTCGGCGTTCGGCGGCCTCGGCCTGGGTTCAACAGACACAGGAGATGCCCGGCAGACTCTGCCGAGTCCCGGGCGGGGAGGGGGAGGGGGTGTGGGGAGAGGATGGGCAAATCTGAAAGGCGAGATCCGCGTGGAAGCTGTGCTTCGCAGCCCCCGACGGTCCAAGCCCGAGAAGCGCTGCTGATCCCGTCGCGGCGGAGTCAGCAATGACGGCCAGCAAGGGTCTGGCGCCGGGACAGCAGCCGTGGAGCGCCGAGACATCACAGAGGGGGCTTGTGACGCGGCACCACAGCCGGTTCCGAGACCGACCCGCCGCTGAGCAGGGCTGAGTCCATTGGGGAGGGTGTAGCTGGGATAACTTAGGAAGGGGGGGGGGAAACAGCGCACAACAGCAACTGCAGACGGAGAGAGAAGTGAGAATATGTGAGAGAAACAGCCCTGAAGACCCCAAGGTCAGTGAAGAAGGAGGGGAAGGAGGTGCTCAGGCAACGGAGCAGAGATTCCCCTGCAGCCCGTGGTGCAGATCATGGTGGGACAGCTGTGCCCCTGCAGCCCAGGGAAGCTCATGGTGCAGGAGAGCTCCACCTGCAGCCCATGGAGGACCCCACGCTGGAGCAGATGGATGCCTGAAAGGAGGCTGTGACCTCGTGGGAGGCTCGTGCTGCAGTAGGCTCCCAGCAGGAGCCTGGAGCAGATTTGCTAGCAGGAATTGTGGCCCCGGTAGGGGACCAGAACAGGTGTGAACTTGTGACTTTGGAGATAATGACTTGGTCAGCTGGGCTTGAATAATTTTGTCACCCCAAGATGCCCTCTGGAGAGCAGAAGGTGCAATTCTGCTGAAAGGACAGACTTTCTACCCCTTCTACCTGACGATGAGCAGGCTGAGGGTTCGTAGGTTGCAAATATATATAATAAATATATACAACAAAAATATATAATAAATATAATAAATATGTAAAACATAAAAATACCCACCTTCAAAGACAAAGAAAAAAAGAAGTGCTGTAGTGCTCCACTGCAAGACCCATCACCAACAAGTAACAGAAGTGCTATATAGATATTAAGACTCAGGGCTGTCTAACAGATTTCTGTGAAACATAATCCCTACGGTGACAAGAGCAATAAAACTCAAAGCTCTTCCCCTGCTCCTGATGATTTTACTGTGAGTTTTGAAACCTCGGCAAACAGACCTAGGACACTGTGCTTTGTGAAATGTTTCTGTTACTTGAATAAAATCCCCTGTTTCCTGAAAAGTGTGTTTATTTTCTTTCACACCAAGGATTGCACTGCAAGGTCCCACAGCATCTGCATTGGATGGGATGAACTGCACCCTGAAAAATCCAACCCCTTCTCTCTCCTTTAACTATAAAGAAAGCAATGAATTACTAGCTCAGCTATAGATGTCTCAATTCAGCACAATTTTACGGTCCGTCTGGATGATCTTAATTTTTTTTTCCAACCTAAATGATTCTGGGAGAATAATTCTATGATAAAGTTATATTCACTAGGGATAATCACACGAACCCCACTAAATAGTCACAAGCCCTTTGTGAGCTGTGCTCCCTGTCATCTGCATTTTGTCTTCCCTCTTCCTTGGTTGGTTGTTTGAGATGAAGTGACCCACCACTGAACACCTTGGAATATCTTTGACAGACAGAAATAGGATTGTCGAAAGCTAACAATTTGAAATTACAGGAAGAGTAGGTTTACCTGTCTAATCCGATTTATTAGTGTTCCCCTGCCAACTAATTTGGGTGAGATACCAGCCACATGATCATATATGCTTGGTCTCTTACAGACATTTAAGAAGAAATGGTCCTTTCTTATGGATTTTATAAGATGTGACAAACACAGTGAATTCACTCTCTTTCTTTCTTTTTACAAAGTTCTTCCTTAACAAATGGAGCACATAGTTAATTTGGGAGATCTGAATGTAATAAGTAAGCAATGGTAAAATTTACTTGTCAAAATATATATATTGTATTTTCTGTATATTATAGCTAATGCCTGGTTGGGACTAGGGAGTTGTAAACTGCGGAATAGTTAACTGCTGTATTATTATTATAAGTTGACTGTCCTGCAACTGGCAGTTCCTAAGTTGGCAAAGATATTCTACTTTACTGAGCACGTATATGATATCCTGCTTTTCTAAAAATATTGTCTTAGTTACTCATTAGAAAAGAAGAAAAGAACGAGGATCAGAGGGTCAAGGATGGAAATGATAAAGAAGAGCCAAGGAGAACATCTGGACCATCTGGATACCTTCCCATATTCAGCTCCAAGGACACTGGGCTAATTAAAGCTATTGATGGAAAAGTCCCTGGCAATTGAAATGGGCCTACAACAGAACCAACCAGAACAAAGCCCGCGAACCCAAGCCCAATCAAGTGACTATGGGAGGGGGAGTTGAAAAAGTATAAAAGTTGCTGTTTGTTTTTATTGGGCCTGTGGGCCGGTGGGGAGCAGGGGTCTCCTCAGGCCACCTAGCGTGCTGATTTGCTTATCTGCACTTTATATAAATCTCACAATAAATTTTACTGCTAAATTTTGATTTGGTTTATTTACCTATAACATGAAGAACAAGGAGAAACACCGGTTTGAGTCAACTTATCTCTGAAAAAAACTAATTTTTTCTTCTCTGGAATTATGTCTGATTAAAATGTCTTATAAAGAAAATTCAAAACACACCCAGAGGTGGCTACTCAAAGGGTGGGCAGGATGTGCCTTCAAACATCCCTGATTAATGGCTGGATGTTGCACAGGGGGAATGGACTGCAGACTACCAGTTATTACAACGCAAACCTGTACTATAGTATTGCCATTGTCACTAAGAAACCACAGGCTTTGTACTGAGCTTTGTAGGCCTCAGGGGAAGGCTTGCTCCAGCTGAGCTTTCCTTGATCTCTACAAGCTGCATAAGGTGAACAAGCAGGTGCTAGCCAAAACTGGCTTTAGGGGCAATAGAGAGAAAAAAGAACAAGTATTTCTAACACATTTAAAATGCACCATATATCATAAATTCAAATGTAATGTGAAGCTGCAGAGCAATGAAAAAAGAATAAGGTGTAAAAGTGTGTTAGTAAATATGTAAATACGACCCCATGTGGGTCCTAAAATGAGGGAGAGGAAAACACCATCAAGAACATTGTACTCCTCCAGCAAATAACTCCAGATGCTGGCAACGGGCCAAAACTCCCCTTCAACAGGAATCCCCAAAATGAAACCATCAACCTTAGGAGGAGCATGGGAAGAGTGAGGCAGAAAGGATCTAGAAGCTAAACAGGGTGAAAACAATTGTAACCGTATCCTTTTGTTATTATATTACTATTGAAGCTTTCACTGCATTGAAATATTTTTTCTCTTTCTTCCATAATTATTAGATCTGGACTATTATTGATGCTTGGATTAGACTGCTAATATTTCAATCATACTAGCAGAAAATTCTTTTTTTATATATGTTTCTTCTGAAATTCCCTACGTCCTACACACTCCCTATCCTTTCCTTATCATTTGCTCCCCCAGCTGCACCCTCCAGAGTAATGGCCACACTGAAAGTGAAACGATGTCAAATACAGGTTATCCCCGGTGATTTGTTCTGGGAGGTGTGAGACACTGGATCAGTAAAAATATTGTTGGGTTGGAACCACCTCGGAGGGGGGGGGAAGTGTGTGTGGAGGGGGAAGGAATGGGTCAAACCTCACGGAGGTGAGATGGCGGCATATCCCTCATGGCAGGCCCCTGGAGCCCCCGGAGCAGCTGTCAGTCAAAGGCAGTCCAGGAATGCTTCAACACACCACAGCTCCTGCAGCCCCTAACCCAGCCTCATGTTGGCAGGGACAGTGAGAACACTGCCCCTCACCCTGGAACCCCAGAATGGCCAGTGGGCCTCAAGTCCCAGCTAGGGAGGTGGCCATGAGGACTAGAGCAGATAAAAGCAAAGGCATATGCTTTGTTTTGATAGTATGACACCCTTTGGATGCCAAGTTGTCTTATTTTTTCCCCTAAAATTATCAGTAAAAGTAGTCTTGAGGAAAAGTGTGTGGCCTCTTCTCTTTACAGTATCTCGAGATAGTAAAGAACCCTGTGTATGTTTTGAAAAGTAAAACTTGTGGCTGAACTTGCAGCTCTGGGGCAGGAATGTTACAGTAGGATAGATAAACTCTGCAAATGCATCAGAGTGAAGGGAAGATTACTATCTGCTTCGTAAATGCTGGGGCCCTTCTCAGTTTTACTATCTGAACATTATAATTTCAAAACTATCTCATTACAACAGGATGAATGTAAAATGCAATAATAACTGCCTGTGAAATTTCTATGGCTGTGTCCAGACAGCAGTACAGCAGCAGTGTTTTTTCCCTACTCTTACTTAGTCCGTCTTATTATTTTAATTATAGAACTAGTCACATTTCAGAAAACAATAATTTTAATGCTGATTATATCTGGAGCAGGACTGTGATCGAAATAAAAATTGTATTTTCAATGTAGACTTTCTTAAAAATACCAATCTCTTTGTTTTCATACCTCAATGCTTATAGCAGCGTGGAGAGTAAATACCACATGTGCAGAAACCTAGAATTAATCCTTAAAGACTTTTTACCTTATCTAAAGCATATTTCTACAGCAGATCATACAAGCTAATTCTAGCCCGATTTACACCTATGCAATACTACCTTTCTTGATGTGTGTGTACAGAAAGGAAAGCTGAAGGATGTAGGAAATCTAACAAGATAACTTATGAGGTGATTTGCAATAAGTTATTCATTTAGCAAAAAATTTAAGAGACATGTTGTCTGAAATACCTGTGCAGGGTAATTTTTAAAAAACATCTACCTCACAACAAGGAAAGAATTAAAGGTGTGCAAGCTACAGCTGTGCACTCCTGTGGGAAGAGATGATATTTTTGTCCTTTGCTTACTCAGAAATTAGAGAGGTCAACCAGTTAAAGTCTTCTTATAATCACAGTCACCAGGGGTCCAGCAGGTATTATATATTTCTGTGTCCTTTAGTCCACACTTATCCTGAGGTTTTGGTTTATTCTGCATTGAAGAAGTCTGCCGCCTTGCACAGGATGCCAGAGATTATCCCAAAGCATACAGTCATGTTGAAGCTTCATAGCTCTGTAGTATGTAACCTGTAACCAATGCAGATGAATGCTGCATACAAGCCAAGATATTTATGTCAAAATTTCCAACACTTTAACGCATTCATTCCTTCCTTCTGTAACATTTCAAAGGTTTGTGCTCAGTCTGGAATTAGATTTTCTGGAAAAAAAAAAAAAAAAATGAAAAGACCATCCCAAATGTTTTGGCTGTCCTTTCCTTATCAATAACTTCTGTATTGGCAAAGCTTAGGGATTGGGCGTGTAAAGCATCCCTTAGGGAAGGTGCTGGATTTTCAGGAAAAGGGCAAGAAATCATGATTTGTCAAAGTCATATGTTTTTATAAATATATTTTGTCTCTGGCTCTCAGTGTTAATTGTCGTATTTCCTATGGCTCACCAGCACTTGGCTGGTTCTGAACACCCCAAGTATTGCTCAAGAAAATGGGAGGGCAAGGGTAGTGCAAGTTCTTCACCTGACCCCAATTCAACTTCATAGCAAATTATCATTCTTCCAGTGAAGTCAGGGAAAGTTTAGGCATCTAAAAGCTGTTTCAGATTGATTTCAGTCTTCTAATCTGTCAAGAAGGACAAAATGGGAATTCTGTACTTCCCCAGTAAGAAGTGATCTCATTGTTATCACTTATTTCTGCAATTACATGTAGCTCATTAGAAGTGAGTTATTTCACGTAATTTGTATCTCTTACCCAGAAAATCCCATTAGGCCACTAAAGGCAAGAGTCAGCAAAGACACAGACAGAACAAATTTTTACTATAATAAATAATTTACTGTGTGCTGAGTTTTAAGTTACTGATCTTCAGACTTTCTACCAAAGAGTCTTCACCTAAACTTGTATTTTGATCCAGTCAAGCATCCAGTAAAGTCTTTTTCAGAGTTGACACTCCAGAACTTGTTAATCTACTATTTGTGACTTACTTTGAGCTTAATATTAACAAAACTGCAGTAACTCAACATTGCTTTGCAGTTCTTCCCCCATACCTGGTGTCCCTGCAGTGCCATATGATAGCACTCAGGATGATCTGGCCTTCCCTGGCCTTCCCCAGCACGAAGGTCATGCTGACAGGCCTGTAGTTCCCTAGATTGTCCTTCTAGCCCTTCTTGTAGAGAAGTATCACACTTGCCAAACTCCTGTTTAGCCAGGCAGTACCAAGCCTGTCTGAGTTCAAGAAATGTTTGGACAATACTCTCAGGGACATGGTGTGACTCTTGGGGATGGTCCTGTGCAGGGCCAGGAGTTGGACTCAATAATCCATTAGCAAATTTACAGATGGCACCAAGTTGAAGGGGAGTGTTGATCTGCTGGAGGGTAGGAGGGCTCTGCAGACGGACCTGGACAAGCTGGATAGATGGGCCTAATCCAACAGTATTAGGTTCAACAAGACCAAGTACCAGGTCCTGCACTTTGGTCACAACAACCACATGCAGCGCTACAGGCTGGGCACAGAGTGGCTGATCAGTGGCCAGGCAGAAAGGGACGTGTATCAGGAACAGTGTGGTCAGCAGGACTAGGAAAGGGATTCTTCCCCTGTACTCGGCACTGGTGAGGCCACACCTCGAGTACTGTCCAGTTCTGGGCCCCTCAGTTTAGGAATGATGTTGAGGTGCTGGAGCGTGTCCAAAGAAGGGCAACAAGGCTGGCGAAGGGACTGGAGCACAATGCTGCTCCTATGAGGAGCAGCTAAGGGAGGTGGGAGTGTTTGACCTGGAGAGAAGAAAGCTCAGGGGGGACCTCTACAACTACCTGAAAGGAGCTTGTAGTCAGTCTCTTCTCCCAGGCAACTAGCAGTAGGACAAGAGGACATAGTCTTAAGCTGCTCTGGGGGAGATTTAGGTTAGACATTGGGAAGAAGTTCTTCACAGAAAGAGTGATTGAGCACTGGAATGGGCTGCCCAGGAACGTGGTGGAGTCAGTGTCCCTGGAGGTGTTTAGGAAAACACTGGATGTGGCACTTATTGCCATGATCTAGTTGGCAAGGTGGTGTTAGATCATAGGTCAAACTTGATGACCTCAGATGTCTTTTCCAACCTATTTCATCCTGGGATTTTGTGATCCTTGTGGGTCCCTTCCAACTCAGTATATTCTGTGATTCTCTGGTTCTGTGAAATGCCATATGGAGGGTGGTTCAGTGAGCACTTCTGCCAGTTCCCTTAGTACCCTTGGGGGTACTTTGTGAACATAATTAAAATACAGTGCAGTTGTTATTAGTCCAGTCATAATGACATTCACACTCACAGCCCGAGCTAATTCTGACAGAAAAGCTATACGCCATGTGAAGTTGCTGTACACAATGTAGGGTTATTCAGTGGGTAGTCACAGAACTAAGCTAGAACAAGTTAGGCAAAAGTCAATTTGACTGTTTGATGGCTGGAGAATTGCTCTCACAGTTAAAACGAACTTAAATCAGTTCAGGCTAATACAGGTCCAGACC